AGGAGGGAGGGGGGCTAAGAGAGGAAGGAAGGAATTCTACAGAGAGGAAGGAAGGAGGAAAGGAGGAAGGGAGGGCGGGCGGGAAGGAGGAAGGAAGAAATTCTATGGAGAGGAAGGAAGGAAGAAGGAAAGGAGGGAGGGAGCACTAAGAGAGAAAGGAAGGAAGGATGGGAGAGGGAGGGAGGAAAGAAGGAAGAAAGGAAGGAAGGAAGAAAGAAAGAAAGGAAAGAAAGACAGACAGACAGGAAGGAAGGAAGGAAGGAAGAATGGACAAGTTTGGACAAGAAAACAATCCCCTGCTTTTCACCATACTCTCTTAAACTTCTCTTCTCAGATTCTCTTCCCGTTCTCCTAGTTACTCTCCTATGTCCTGCAAGAGAGCGACTGGAAGCAGGAATTCGAGATCCCGACGCAGCCCCAGCTACTCCCAATACAGGGCTGGCAGGTAAGTCTAGATATCTGAGTCCCCTGCTAGAAATCCACCCACTGCCCTGGGATCCATCTTGCTGATTTCAACCCTGAACTATTGTAAGCTGAAGGGAAATCCCATCCAGCAAGGAAATCCTGTGTCCTGGTGTGTGTGTGTCTGTGTGTCTGTGTCTGTGTGTGTCTGTGTGTTGCAGTGGTGGGTTTCAAATTTTTAGACCCTATTCTATAGGTGTGGGAGTGGCTTGGCAGTCATGTGACCGGGTGGGAGTGGTCAACTTGATGTCACTCACCAGGAGATGTGATGGATTGGGTAAAATGTGGTGAACCTCCCTTAACAACGCTCTTGCTCAGCAACCAAAATTTTGGGCTTAATTGTAGTCATAAATCAAGGACTATCTCTGCCGTCCTCTGCATGGCAGCCTTGTCCTAGTTAAACTCCTTCTCCTTTCTGGCAATTTTCCTCTCTTATAGAGGAACCAAAAAAAATCCATACAATGTGAGGTTTCCTGCTGCAGCAGGGGGTTGGACTAGATGACCTCCAAGCCCTACATTGCTGTGCTGTTTTTCTTCCTTTCTGATAACAAAGAAACCTGCCTACGTACCTTTCCAAGCTGCTTTAGCGAGGACTTCAACGCTGCTCTTGCCTTGGGTCCTCTGGAGAAGCCCCACCCTTCCTTCCTTCTCTTTGAGAAGCGCCTTGCAAACAGGGGCAGAGCAGGGGAATGTACCGGTACAGGGGCGTGGCCACACCGCCCTGGAATGGGTACGCAAAAGTACGGCAAATTTCTGGCACCGGTACACCTGTAGTAGTGTGTACCGCCAGAACCCATCTCTGGTGTGATCTGATCCCCTATTGTGACATTCTGACAAGCAAAGTCATTGGGCAGGACAGATTCACTTAATAACCGTGTTAGTAGCTTAACAACTGCAGGGATTCACTTAACAACGGTGTGGAGAGAGGTCATAAAACAGGGCACAATTCGCTTAACTGTCTTGCATAGCCCCCAAAATCCGTCAGAGTTCGTTGCAGAAGAATCAAATCCAGAAAAGCACACACGCAGATAGCTGATTCAGCTGGATTCATTAACTGCTTTATATACGTAATAACCGATGAATAAATGTACAATACCAATAGTAGGTTATGTCAACGCATGACCCGACAAATGCGCGCATGACAAAAGCGCACCGACAAAACCCCGGCGAGAAAACCACGATGTCAAAATTGCGCCGACAACAGCGCGTCGACAACAGCGCACCCACAAAAGCGCGATTAGGGTTAAGGTAAGGGTTAGGGTTAGGGTTAGGGTTAGGGTTAGGTTCAGGGTTAGTGTTAGGGTTAGGGTTAGGGTTAGGGTTATTACGTTGTTTTTGCGTTGTTTGTTGAAGGCGCGATTNGCCAGCCTGAGGGAGAGAAAGGGAGAGGAGAGGCCAATCATAACTACTCATTAATTTTCAAGCTGCAAGTGTCGATTTCTTAAGCCCGATCACATAGTTTCGTAGCAGAGCACGAGTATCCAGCTAGTCCCTTTATATAAACAGGGAGGAAACCCCACCTTCCTTCACACAGATGATGTTACTTAGTCAGGTAATGAAACGCCTGCAAACAAACAAACTAACCAAGCTCAGGGAACACCCCAATTCAACCTGAGCTGTATGTATTTATTGTCCTCTATTGTCAAAATTATTCCCAGGATTTCTTCCCAGATGCAAAACTGCTTACGTTCTAACCCCTTGCCGTCTTCGGCGATTCTCACTGAAAAATCAGAAGCGTTTCCTTTCCTCGGCCATAAACAAATGGCTAAACCAGCGGGGCACATCACAGCAAACCAGATTTGCCAAGAATTTTGAATATTCTGTCATAAACAAGGATGTTTATATAAGCATAATCCCACAGAAGGGTTTTTAAGTCACGGTTTGGTGACCAAGAAGTAATAGTCCGATTTACATATAATATGCGTGGATTTGCATATCTACTAAACCAGAAGTAAACAAACCATGCAGTCGTTTAATGTAATGTATGAATCTGGTTTCGGCCTGATCGTCTTAGCTCTTCTTACCAGGGAGAGGTGCTAACAAGCTAGGTTTTTCCCCCTGTTCTTTATTCAGCACTAGCTGATAACCCGGCATTGCCCGGGTATTTATTTATAGGGGGGAAATGTCTGGACCAAATGTAATTTCTACTGTTGGATTTTCCCCCTTACCAGAGGGAGCCCCCTTGTGGAGTACTGTGAAGCCGTTACCATGGCAACTCCACTGTGCTGTACAGGAGAATCCATTTTACGACAGTACAGTAGAAGCCATTTTAAGGCACAACAGGCTGCATCTTAACAGAACACACACCCCGAAGGGTGTTAAGAGTGTCTTATCCACGCAATATTTAGTTCCAGGGAGTAAATCATCTGTGTACTGAGTTTGGTTGAAATTGCTCAAGGTGTTCCAGAGTTATGCTGGAACACACACACAAACACACACACACACACACACACATATATTGCATTTCACTTTGGACCTCTGCTTGTCCCAGTCATCGTGATCCGAGAACAAGAAGTTGTTGATTTACACAACCTTTACAACTCAGTGTCTAAAAACTGCGCCTTCACTGGTCTAGGGTCTCCTGCCTTGAGCACGGGGTTGGACTAGAAGACCTCCAAGGTCCCTACCAACTCTGTTGCTCTGTTATTCACCATTGGCTTTCTTCTTATAGTCCTGACTCTTTGGGGGGGAAGGAATAAACAGGTATACAAGAGATAGCGCTCAACCAATTAGCTCCGAGGCTATCTGGTTTGCGTGCTCCCCTTAAATTGCAGGAGAAGCCAGGAAAAAGAGATTGGGAAGCACAAAACATCGACGCTTTTCTTATTCCTGAGAAGGCAGATTTTTAATTTCTGTTCAGTATGATATTAACTTATCTTGAATTACCTAATGGGTTCACACACATACCCTCCCCCCCAGTTGCTGCTTCTGCTGTGCCATTTGTGTATAAATAGCACATTAGCAATAATTAGTGATAAAAGCATTTAAAACACTGGGTGGGAGGGAGGGGAGAAAGAAAATAAGAGATGGATGGAGAAAGAGGGAGGGAGGGAGGAAGGAAGGGATTTCATGAAGGAAGAAGGAAAGGAGGGAGGGGAGCTAAGAGAGGAAGGAAGGAATTCTATGGAGAGGAAGGAAGGGGAAAAGGAGGAAGGGAGGGCTAAGAGAGAAAGGAGTGAAGGAGTGGGAGAGAGGGAAGGAGGAAAGAAGGAAGGCAGGGAGGGAGGGAAGGAGGAAGGAAGGAATTCCATGAAGGAAGGAAAGGAGGGAGGGCTCAGAGAGAAATGAATGAAGGAATTATATGGAGAGGAGGGAAGGAGGAAGGGAGGGCTAAGAGAGAAAGGAGGGAAGGAGTGGGAGAGAGGGAAGGAGGAAAGAAGGAAGGCAGGGAGGGAGGGAGGGAGGGAGGGAAAGAGAAAGGAAGGAATTCCATGAAGGAAGAAGGAAAGGAGGGAGTGCTAAGAGAGGAAGGAATGAAGGAATTATATGGAGAGGAGGGAAGGAGGAAGAGAGGGCTAAGAGAGAAAGGAGGGAAGGAGTGGGAGAGACAGAAGGAGGAAAGAAGGAAGGCAGGGAGGGGGGGAAGGAGGAAGGAAGGGATTCCATGAAGGAAGAAGGAAAGGAGGGAGGGGGGCTAAGAGAGGAAGGAAGGAATTCTACAGAGAGGAAGGAAGGAGGAAAGGAGGAAGGGAGGGCGGGCGGGAAGGAGGAAGGAAGAAATTCTATGGAGAGGAAGGAAGGAAGAATACAGAGAGGAAGGAAGGAGGAAAGGAGGAAGGGAGGGCGGGCGG